ACACACACACACACACACACAGTAAGGCACCATGCTTTGAATTACCTGTTTAATGTTCTTGTTAGTTTTTATTTTTTTTTAGTTTTCATTATTATTTTTTTTGTTTTTATTAGTTTATAAATCATACTTTTTGTTTTTTTTTTTTTGCTTTCACCACGCACTGCCGTAAATCGAATATGTAAACATTCTAGAGTGGGTTCTCACGATACAGGCCAGGCCTAGTGTGAGGACCACAAGTTACATCTTGCTTTGTCTAGTGCTGCAGTCCAAATGTTTCTCTTAATTTGATAACTGTAAATCTTATATTCAAATGTATATTGTTACTTTGGACTTCAATAAACTTATTATAATTATTATTATGTCTATTTAATTTAAAGTTATATCAAAGGCTGATATCAACGGTAACGAAATGTTTTTTTTTAAATGAAACCAATTACGAAAATTCCAAAATTATTTAATGTCAGATGAGTTTATATATTATTACCTTAGAGGGTAAAGACACTGGAACATTACACTGGTCCAGAAAAAACATAGACGGAATGCTGTTCATGCTGCTCAACTCCACGCAACACTAGTAACGCGCGTAACATATCGCACTTGCCTTGATTTTTAATAGATTATTTCCTACCTCGTTGTCGACAGTGCTGATGTTTTCCTAATAACCTGTTTAACAAATCATAACGTTTATTTTTGTTCGGCACCGAACGATCACACGTCCGGGACTCCATTCTGTTTCAAATCTCTAGCATGTTTGTTTTCATTATTTTTCGTTTTTCATTGAAAGCGGAAAATGAACCAGAGCTCGAGTTTAACACAAAGCTTTGTTAGTTATTAAATTATTCTTTGAATAATTGCTTAGAAGAAACGGGGCAGAAGTATTTATAAGTGGGCAGGCATTTCGATAATTTAAAGATACTTCTTCGAAAACGAGAGATTCACCTACGCCTAGAACCTACTCGTATGTTACGGAATGTGTAATATCTTGGCAATGAAAACGAAGATTTTGCCATTTTTCGTGAATCGAAATAAATTTTTCACAAAATATTTTAAAGCGAAAGTTGGGTCAAACACAAATATATTTTAAATAAACAAAAATAAAAATTACCAGCTGCGTTAAAACTGTTTACACTAAACAAAATTTCTGTGGCACGTTCGAGTTACAGTTTACATTGTAACAATCAAATAGTAATACTTTATCTTTCAAGTGTCGTTCTAATGTCGGCTGATGAAGAACACGTTTAGTTTTTTTTGTCCACAAGCGCGGTTAGAAGACGCCGATGGCGCACGAGGTATATGACTCGACAATATTCGTTGCCAGAATTAGACGGAATTAATTTAGAAAATAACGAACGAAACGTGTTGCTGGCAGGTAGCGTTTCCCTTTTTTACCTACCCAACTGCTGGTGCAGAAGATGGCGGCAACAGTAGCTAAACTTTTTCATTGTCCTGGTGATGCGTGTCAGTGTGAATAGAAAGCTATTTCGTATTAAAGGAAACTGTTTAGCAGTTAATGGATGCAGAAGTCGAAAAGTAGTAACGTGTCGAATCGCAATTTAGTTCTGGCGCCGGACACAAAAAACGGATGTGATTTTGCAATTTTAATTTTTGTGGTTTAAACCTCAAAAAAATGTTCCTATTTTTCAAACTGCATTAAAAAAATATAATTATGCAGTTAAGGATTGCCGTGTTAAAACAGCAAATGGTTTTCCATGTGAAACGTGAAAATGGGTTGTGATAACTACGCAATATACCTTAACACTTCCCAAATCCTTAATAATATTATAAAGGCGAAAGTTTGTATGTATGGATGGATGTTTGTTACTCTTTCACGCAAATACTACTGAATGGGTTTTAACGAACATAAACAAAGCGTTAGACATTAAAATTAATGTCTAACGCTTGGTTTCTGAAACACTGACCATCGTAGAAGTCAAGCTGATCATTAAAAAGTTCATTCTAATCAATTCAGAGTCTATCAATCAAGTCTGTCTGTTGAAGATATTTTGGCTACCTATTTCATTCCATTTAATAGTTATTTATATAGTGAAGTAAGAGCCGTGATAGCTCAGTGTCCGGGCGCTCGCCTTTAATTCAATATACTCGAGCATCCTGAGTTCGATCCCCGATGCCGGCACCAATTAAGTTTTTAACTTTAAGTGCTGACTTATCACGTGCTCCGCGGTGAAGGAAAAACATCGTGAGGAAACCTGCATATTTTCGAAACAATAATAAAAAAAAAATATTTCTCGAAGATATGTGAAGTCCGCCAATCCGCAGTGGGGCCGCGTGGTGGACTATGCCCTGATACTCTCTGTATAGAGGAGGCCTTTGCCCAGCAGTGGGACATGTATAGGCTGTTACTTTACTTTAATTTTACTTTTATATAGTCTGTTCTGGACACTAATTGTATAATAACTAAGTGGTAGTATACAGTCTCTTGACATTGTTCTATTCCATAAATAGTGTACAATGAAAATGATTGATATTATTATATTATTATTATTATTTAACTATTCGTAATAACCTTGTCCTTCTTAAGGGAGATTAATTAATTTGAAAGAAAATAGTTAATGGCTTATGATCGAAGTACTAACAGATATAAACGAAGCAATTGTTTCCAGCGGAAACAAAATCAAAGTACATTTTGAATTTAATTGCTCGACTCACATTAGATTGGAAATGTTTCCGACGGACACCAATCAAGAATTATTGGAATAGACGAGGGCGTGTCACTTTGACCCTCAGGGTGGGTGTCGCGGTCATTCGTCCGTAAATTGTATAATTCAACACAACGCAACAGGCAAGAATGGCCGTCAACGCAAACGCGCACCGAAACAAAACGTGCCAAACGCACAACCCTATTGAATGACGAGTCTGAAATTAAAAATTCTGCAAAGGCAATTTGGCATTAAATTTCTATTCAGGTTGGTCAACGCTATAATCGAAATTGTTAACGGGAGTTTAAATTATTAACGAAATCCCGATAGCCATTTGTAAAAAAAAATGGACATTTAGTTTCATAAAATCTTATAGATTAACTCTTTGGGAATCCACTTCGATCACACTGTGATTTATAGGTATAGTTACCTAATTAGAAATTAAAAAAAGAATGCAATTTTCTCTTGATATCTGAAATAACTTACTCCCATTGTATTGGTTAAGATAAAAGCATTCCTCGTGTTCTTTGATAACGGCAAAAATGGGAATGTCATACGAAAGCGCGGAAGAAATGAAACGATAATATGTCTGGAGCGGTTACTGTCTCGACAATGGGGTCGGACAAAGGGAAATCATAAGATGGCTGTTCAACGAGCAAGATCTGGTTACGTTGATGGAGCGTCGCCCGATCACAATAATAGTTATACTTAAATTGTTAATCTCGCTCTGTTTTGTCGATTTTACATGCCTACCTTATCTACCTATACTTCTATATCTATAATGTACCTACTAATTATATATAGCCTGTTGACCCATTTTCGCACACTACCGTGATTAGTCACCGATGGTTATTTATGATAATATTTTACACATTGCCATAAATAATTAAAGATAAATTTTTATCAATGAAAGGTATTTTATTTTGAAGTACCTACCTATAACGTTGGATTATACCTCGACATGTTTCATTTAAACAAAATATCAATAGATGGCATGGTTATACATTTTTTGAATTTATGATAGTTTTTTTTTTCTTAAAACATTAACTTTGTCTATTATTATTAACTTATTATATTATTATTATTTGTCAATAATGGCAGTCATGAGCTTTAATATGGTGTTTGAATTATCAAATATGATGAAGAATCATGGAGTTATGGCTAGCCGACGAAATTGTATACATACTTCTTATGACCACAAAATTGATATCTCCTAAATAATCTGATCTAATACTAAAACTTTCAGATAGATTTCGAAATTAATAACTGATTGAAGTTATATGGGCAAAGCAATGACAGTGAACATGAAGCTGTTATTACTTTACGAGTAGTACTTATTCGGAATCTAGTAACCCTTAATGGATTTTATGGTTATTGGTAGAAGGTTTATGTTAGTATTTAATAAGTTATATTTGATTATATTAACTATTTAAATACGATTCACTATTAGTACAAAAACATAGAATGAACTCTTTTACTATTCCATTGACCCGTAAAAGTAATTTCCAAAATCTAATCTCAAGATTACTCTCAAATATATCATTCATGATCGTTATTAAATGAAATGGACATAACTGGTTCTTTTCTCGCTCAAAGGTTAAGCATAAATATTCATCGAGGAAATGCAGCTAGCGTTCTTGGCACCATGCCACGTGGGTTAGGTTTATTAGATAATATGTAATTTTAGATAGATTTAATCTTGTAAATATTACATTACACAAACTAAAAGAAAGAAAATAAATGTGTCCCATTCTTAAATGAAATACAATCGTTATAATACAATTATTATTATAATAGATGAGAAATTCATGATTAACAACTTAAAATTTGAGAAAGCAACCACGGGGCTGTGCGGCTACGCGAGCAGCGTGGGTTGTGTGAACTTAACAGTTCGAATAATTAACGAGATAGTAAATAGCTATATTTCCTTACTTTATAATAACACAGTGTACAGAACAATTTCTGTATCAATTCGGAACAATGCACAAAGAAGCCTCCGACGGCTGTAATTCTTACTAATGTTACTAAACGGATTCAAAGTCTTTCTGAAGATGACGTCTCTTTCTTCTCGGCAGTCGTCGAGTTTCCTTTGTAATTAAATATTGAAATTAAGAATTGAACAACCGCTAATTACAGAAGCTTGTCCCTTGGGGGCTGATTATGTTGCCCCGGCATCCGTAGAAAGGGGTGTCGGAGTGGGCTCTTGTTACAATATAATATTTAAGATTCCTCCTTTGAGTGTGTATTTTGCGAGGCACTTTGTTGCATATGATAATGGAAAATTCATAAGGCTAAAACTCCACCTTTCAAAAGCCGTACGGTTATTACCCAATATTCGCATGTATGTTAATACATTTTCCAAAAGAAAAGCACGATACGATACCTATCGTTTTAGTAATAGAAACGTAAGACGAACAACGTACTGCGAACATAAATTCAATGTTTGGACATTTCAATTATGCGAACCACGTGGCGTGCCGGCGAATTCGTGCCTCGGGCAGTAAAAATTAGTAAAAATTGCCTGGGGAAAAAATAACAACACAATCTCCTATCTTTATAAAATGCAGTCGAAAAAAAAACGGGTTTGAGATATCCTTAATGGAAAAAAATGAAATACTGCCAATTGGGACCACTAATGTACAAAGTGATAACAGAATTGATAAATAAATTTTTATTTGATGATGTTGCAAATCAACTCTGAATCTCTTCAAGTGTTGATTAAAATGCTTTTATATGCAGTAAAGAGTATTTAAATATGTTTTCAAATATAATGATTTTAAATCTTCCGTTACAAAATTCAAGCTTGAATTTATCTTTTGCACAAGGCAACAATCGTAATTAAAACGATATTACAGAGATTTTTATCTTCTATAACATTTATTGTCTGTCAGTACTAGTCAAGAACTAAATAAGGTGAGATCTTTTCAGTGGGAATGTCTTTATTAACTATCTTCGAATCGAGAGAAGTCTCGGGAGCCGCCTAATAAACTATCAGACAAACGTAATTAGTTTTGTAAATAAAATGCATCAGAGAAATTGAAACGTAGGGGTTACCCGATCATCGTGGTGACTTGACTGTTTTGATACTTGTGTTGTGAGAAACTTTTTAGTGAGTATATAAAACAAGCTCTTTAAATCACGCATAAGTATTTAAAGTGTAAAATTCAATACCTTTAGTTATATGAAACAAATTAAAAGATCTGAAAATATAAACGGCTAAGATAGATTAAACGGTAAGTTATGCATAAACATGGGAGTATTCTTCATTTTGGAGGTTTATCTAATTAATGTTATAAATCATAATTCCGGAGCACAGTACATTTTTATTTTCAATTTAAATACATTCTTTTTGTTTAGCCTTAGGGACAGGTAACATTAAGGGAGCATCTTGCCAACCATCACCGCGCGGAATCATTGCAAACTCGAATTATGGACGCCAAACTTTTTCCACCCCACGTGTTTTTATTTAATTTTTTATTTTTACGACACGATTAAACGCGGCTTTGCTTTCAGTTTTTATTGTTACTGTGGACGTTCCCTCTAATTTTTGGCCTCAATTAAATCTCCCGCTTTATTAAATCATTGTTTTTCATGGCATCATGTTTAGTTAACATCTACCTGCTTGAATTTACAACGTCACTCTGTGTCGCTTTGACCGTAGATTAATTTTTAGACTGAATGATATCCATAGCGAATTTGAAGGTGTCATGCAATATCAATAATCTGGATCTCTCTTCTTCCTCAGGTACTTCTCAAGGTGAATAGGTATTATGTCTAATTAAGTAGAGATTTCATCTGGCCTCAACCGGAACTCGTTTAGGAAAATGGAGCACCATTTTTTATAACCGAATTCATTTATCATGTTTGCACAAAACCCAAGACAAACTGCTACTGCGTTTGGGTTTACCGTAGATAAGATTACGAGCGTTTGTTTTACCATGCCTACCGATTTCCGAGCCATACTTGAGACAGTGCCCCATTGTTTGGTGTCTCCGGGCATGATTCTAGGCGAATGATTTCAATCATCACTCGGCGCTTTAAGGCAATGACCTTAGCTGAATCGACGATGTAAACTTATCTTAGGTAGTTTGTTGGTTTGAACTTTATTTTGACCTATTATTTTGCATGGATTATCACTGCTTTAGGCACACATTTAGGTTTTCGGATATGTTACTCGCGTTACATTTTCATATAACACTGAAGTCGTTTCATTTATTAGGCGATTATACATCTAATAATAAGTAAGTAAAAGAGTTATTTGCGATTTAGCTTTCAACTATAGTTTGGTAGTATTCTGTTCAAAACATTTCTTAGATGTATTGTTGGATATCCGTTTATTTTTGTTTTTCATGGTTTAAAATATATCAGATACGTCAGTGAAGACTATGGTCATAGATATAACAAGGTGAATTCCTTGCATAATAGTTTTGTTAGATATTGATTTATAGACTTTCTTTTAGAGTAAATAGAAGTTTAAGGCAACTGCGACACCATTGTAGACAACTTTGATAAAAAAGCAGCAGGTTTCAGTTAGCCATTGACTAGGTGAGGGGCTTGCATTTTGGTTGCGTTTTGGTGCTCAAGTATATTATTTTAATCAAAATAACTAGAGCTCTGGCTAGAATCGATGCGATGTTACTAAAGATTTCAGTAAATACTCAAAGGATAGACCGGAACAGCGTTACAAGCGCACTACTTTTTTAATGATGGAGCATACTTAGCGCTGATATTTTAAGGACAAGAGAACAGATTTAGATGAGTTTAATTTAACACGGTAAACATTCCCATGCGACGTGTAAATATTACCCTTTGGAGGAGCATGCACGAGATAACTATAAACACAATACGACTATTAGCTCACGATAGGCTGTCAGCGACCGGTATTTGGTCTTTTCACTTTGTTAAAACTCCCTTGTAGCCCGGGAAGGATGTTTACGCCCCGTGAATGTTATGATTTAGTGTCAGTAATTGGTAGCGAGTGTGAACGCGTCCACTAAGAGTCGAGAATAGTTACACAAATATAATAACAGAGACCCTCCCTTCTATTTATAGTCGGCGGGCGGCGCGGCGGTGTTGCTTTGTTCGCCTTTACCTGCTGACGCTAATGGTTGTTTTCTCTAACTTGAAAGCGAGTCAAAGTAGTACTTGTCATGTCAATCGGATATATAGGCTTCATTAAATACTTTTTACTGTGGCTGTTCATGTGTTATTTTAATCGAAACCAAGTAGGCGATTTTGAATTTATTGTTTCGATTTATCGTAGCGGTTCACCTGATGTTTAGTGATTATTGCCACTTATAGACATATCTACCACATCGATGCGTTTTTATCCATGGGGTTGCAAATGTTGTAACAAGTTGAAAAAGTTGATTGTCGAGGTAACCCTCGACTTGGAATACACATCGGTAATCACATGCTGTAATAAATGATAGTTTAGGGTTCCCAAAAGAAAAGGCACATATATTATCACCACTACCACTAGTATATATGGTGTTTTATCGCAACTTGTTCAAGTACATTATATGGTATAGTATCGCAACCTGTTCAAGTCGTAAATTCATTAGATCTGTTGATTTTATTCCATTGCTGTGACATATTTCTCACCTGGTGTGGTAACAGTTTAGATTCTGTCCAATCTATGTATGATTTAGTACTTGAATAAACGAGAATATAAAATACATATAGTAAAATTTTGTAACCGTTTTTAAGCTTAGGATAATTTATAAAGCGCTGAATAATTTTTATATGACACATTATCTATACGAGAGGAAAAATTAAAATTGTCTAATTACGGACCATTTTGTACCGCTGGACGACTACACTATCTGAAATGCATGACTTATATTATCATAAGTTGTGGGTGTTTGTCGAACCATGTATGAGGGGCACATCGGCAATTTCTGGGGACAGCTTTGCGGCTTCTATTTGATCAGTGCCATCAGTGAGTGATGAATATTGCCACGCAAATATAACAAAAAGCAAAACTATCCACGGTGTTAGTTTCACTGGGGTTGGAGTAGTTCGCCTTCAGTGATAGTGCAGATATTGAGTGCGGAATTTGTCTATGTACACACATAATTATTATTTACTTCTTATATATTCTATTTTTTATAATTATACGAGGACTTATATTTTGTCATTCACAAGAAAATATTTCTTGTATATTTCATATTTTCGTATTAAATGTTCCGATTAAATCCTTTTACATTTTATCGAATTTCCCCCAACTTTTTTTGTTTTAAACATATAATATCTACGTGAAAGACTGATTAAAATAACAGCGCGTAAGTACCGGAAACTTAACCTGCAGATTACGTTACGCTAATACATTTGCACCTCGTCGCACCGCGGTTTGCTCGGTCCGGCATAAATCGTTCGGAAATCGTTCGTTGATAAATCGAATGCGTTTTAATGGCGGTTTATCTCGCGGGCTGTGCTGTGTTCGAGTTACGGGCGGTCTAAGTGGCGGGGCGGCACGTGTCGCCTTATCTGTGTCCCTCGACACTTCCAATATTCGATTTCGTCGCGGCCGCACTCGGCTCGGCGTCTCGCGGGCCCCCGTTTATGAGGCCCGGTGACTGAAATGAGCGCCGAGTAGTCTTTTCGATGCTGCATCAGATGAAGCGACGTTTGTCGTCAAGCTTAGTGATCGCTATACAAACTGTTATGAAGTACGTTTAAGTAGAAATAAGTTCGAATCTGGTAGCGGCGAAAATTTCCTCGATGATTCTACGTTCTTCTAAAAAAGCCGTGGTAGCTCGAGCGGCTTTTCGAACTGACAGCTCAGTGTCCGGGCGCTTTTAATTCAATATACTCGAGCAACCTGAGTTCAAATCTCGGTACCGGTCATCAATGAAATTGTCAAATGTAAGCGCTGGATTATCACGGGCTCACCGTAAAGGAAAACATCGTGAGGAAACCTGTACATTCTCGAAATAATAATCAAAAAAGTCATATTTTTGCTCTATGTATTTATCTCTACTATGCTCTATATATCTTTTGCAAGGATCTGTGGTCTATCAAACCTGATGTAGTGGTTGGGCCTATTTAAGGTGTGCTCACAAACTGCAGACTTGTTCAGTCTATTGTTTTATGTCAGCTATATGTTCTTTCACGCGGATTTTTATTGCTCTTTTCGTTTGTCCTATGTAAAGTCAGCCCAACCACTACATCAGGTTTGATAGACCACAGATCCTTGCAAAAGAACACCGATTCCTCCCAAGGATGATTCGCGAGGCTATTGAAATTAAAAAACACCCTAATTTCAATAGAGAAGAGGGTTGGGTACTACCATCAGCTTGGAATCCTGTCATCAATAAAATTAAATCTAGGCCCAAACGAACCACCACTGCAAGACAAGATACTATTAGCTCCCTCTGCATAGATCGGACACAAAATAAATAATGCAAAAACTGACGGTAGCCCGGGTTAACGATGACAATCAGACTTCTAACACCTCAGTTTGTCCCGTGACCATGGAAGCTGTAAAGGGTTCGAAACGTCGGGAATTAAAATTAAAAATAAACGTGATAAATCCGTAAAATTAGTTTCATTTATAATGTGTAATCGCGTAAATACAAGAAATTATCAAAGACCAAATAAAAATAAAACTAAAAATGAAATTATAAGTTGTAATAAGTTCCTGTGAAGAGATTTCGATCTTATGAAGGTACGACTAGCCGTAATACTTTCGTACAGTGTTTATCGTATAATGTTAGTCGTCGCTGGATCGGTTGTTAAGTTTAGTAGACTGACGCCCGGTTTCTGAAACACTGATCATTCTGATCATTAAGAAGATCATTCTGATCAATTTAGAGAGTTTAACAAACCTTTGGCAACTCCAATAAGATTTGAAAATCTATTTGACGGCTGATTAGTTAACTTATACGATGATCAGTGTTTTAGAAACCGGGCGTGAACTGTATTAAAGATTTAGCCCTACTTATTAAGAACACTTAGAATCGTCAGGAAGTACCAAGGTTTTGTTGACAAACTCAGGTGCTGTTGATATCCATGGGCGACTTTATTACTTAACATGAGGTGAACCGCCTGCTCTCCGTCTCACATAAATATTAGGATTCCATATTATACTTTCATATTGTATTTAACCTACACGTGGAACGTTCATGTAATCCATACTTCCATACTAATATTATAAATGCGAAAGTAACTCTGTCTGTCTGTCTCGCTTTCACGCCAAAACTACTGAACCGATTTAAATGAAATTTGGTACACATATAGTCTAGAGCCTGAGAAAGGACTCACGGAACTGTTAGCTGCAGATTCTATTTAATTTTCAGAAAATATAGATGACTACGCATATGTATCACAGTATACAGAGGTTTTTTACTTGGTACAACATCTTATATCGAGCGATTGAACGGTTTTAGTAAATCCATATTGTAATTACGCAGAACGCATTGTCACCGCGGATCACGAAACACACGCGAAACCATCGGCAAAACTCTTTATCTCCGTGTCACAAACGAGAGTACCGCCTTCGACGCGCACAACGCCCCAAAGCGTAACCGAAACCGAGCCTCGGCGCAATCCAAGCTAATGGAGTGTCTCATAATGACGGCTGCTGACATAAAAATAAATAGGCGAGAGTCGGTTTCTGCGTAAGCCGATACTATGATAACAGCAGCGCCCCCTCCTATAATTGCCGAACTTGGCCGGTTGCTAACTTGTGTAGTGAGGATTAGTTCCGATGTGATTGTCCCAGTTTATGATCGCCTGGTAACTATAGCACGCGGTGGTCGTAAATTAGCCGAGCATTGGCATTTTTATTGACCCAGTATGTGCTTATGCACGCCTAGTAATTGTAGACATTGCAAGGAATCTACATAGTTTGAGCAACATACGCAGTCTTTATTATTGCAGTAACAGTAAAGTTTAAAACTAAGACCGTTGTATGGGTATTTTCTAGAAAATAACTTTTTATTAAGTGTAATTAAATGTTGGTAGATTCCATCAATGGATAATACTCATTTTACAGTAATTAGTATTTAGCCAGCCAATCCGCAGTGGGGCCGCGTGGTGGACTATGCCCTGATACCCTCTGTACAGAGGAGGCCTTTGCCCAGCAGTGGGATATATATAGGCTGATACTTTACAGTAATTAGAACAAAATCTAGTCGCTACTGCATGTTATGGACTCGATAGTTAGTATTAAATATGAAAATATTCAGATTTTTTTAGAAGCACACGTAGTAATTGATTTGTAATAAATACACTCAACTTAAATTTTATTCCACCAACAAATTTAATCTTTAAATTCTTTCTTGTAAAATAATTGTAACATTACCACATGTATTTTTATAAATGCAGTGTTAAACAACCTGTTATTGCACGTTCAATCCTTTCAATTTGTAATTAGAGATTCTAAGTCAACCATGATGCGACAGTTAATGGCGTAGATTCAATAGTAGGTAATCATGCCGGTTGTACTGTGAGAAAACGGGCACAGTCTTCGTACGACAAAATACAACTTAACTCATATGTAAAAAAAGTAATAAAGACAAGAAAGTATAGACTAAAAATTAATCATCCCAACCATAGATAATTAAGCATTAATCTGGTCTATAATAATTATATTAACTGTTACGCGTAAATATCGCACGGGCGGTTTTGGTCAGCGCAATAGGCTTAGAGGTGAAGATTTAGGTGACAAAGTTTATTGCGTCCAAGAATATACTGGTCTATTACTCGACCATAAATCACGGATGGGAAAACAATAAGCGTGAAATTGTGGAAACTAGGGCCGCTGTCTTCTGGCATTAAATCTTGGGGGAGTGAAATAAATAAAAATAAATCCGAGACCAGCGCCCCTGCCTCGTGCGAGAACTTGATTTATTAGATAAGACCTCTGAAGAAGCTTATTTGATGTGAGGCCTATGATTAAAGGAAATATAATTGTATATTTCTAAATAATTAACCGGTATTATTGCAAGAGATCCCGATACGCCCCACTGTTTGATGAATTCAAATAATTATACACAGCCCTGATATTAACCATTTACAAACATTTTTAAAATTTTGCTTGATTACTGCCATAACCCAAATCTGTTATTTATTTAATTTCAACACTATTTTATTTGATTTGTATCATATTTGTCCGAATATAGCATGAATTCTTATTCATTAATCCAATTTTATGTTTCATATTTTTTATAAATTATTTCATTCCTTTTGTAGTGCCTGTCAAAGTCCATTTACTATGTAACTTGTTTCCAATCTCTTTTAATTTATAGTGAATGGATACCTTCAATTAATTAATATCGCAGCCTGACAAAACCTCTTAATTAAAAAAGTCAGAACATTGAAATGAACTGAAATTAAAAAAGTAAGTACATAATTAATAAAGTGAGTGATGGCCCATTGGCTGGTACACATTTTCGATTGTTATGTGTTGGGTTATAAACCCAATGGCATGCAGCAAATATTTCACTGCTCTTTATATTTCTCCCGTACAAAACATCTGTGGTCAGTACGACAAGGTTCACTACCAGCGACGTTTTTTTCTTAATAAGAGATTAATAAAAACCAATCGTAAAACAACTAGAAAAAGGGAAAAATTGCTAATAGGGTTTTTTTTAATAGGGCTTTAGTCCTAGTTATAGATTACTACCAACAATGGCCAACCATATGTTATGGTTGTAATCATTTAGCATCATATGAAATATCCACTCGTTTACCACATTTAATAGTAATCTCATTCACCAGATGAATTGCAAAAGTATAGATACTTTCAATTTCGGTCTTCTGTGAAGGAGGGTAACCTAGATAACAACATCAGAATCTGCGACGTTGCTCTACCAACAATAACAATCACACTAATGACGTACGTATCATGAGTAACGCATCTCCGGCAATCAATCCCGAGCATCTTAAATAAACTTTTAACTGTGGTAGGGCCACCCATTGCTGTTGCACGAATGGGCAGGCTCGTCCAGGGAAGTCAACCTCAAAGATCGGCGTCAAGTGGAAGTATTATACTTTAGCGTTTCGTATCGCGAGTGAGGGTAACCGGAGCCGCTTTTAAATAAGTTGGCAAAGCATATACAAACCTCTCGGTGTTATAGAACGACCATGCACGCCTGTTGTCACTTTACATCATGTGATCCGCCGACTTGCTTGCCTACTATTTTTATTCTTATGTACCTAACCACAAATTATTGAACTTGAAATATGGCATAAAATTAATTAACTTGGAATTATAGGTAAATGTCAAAAAGTTGTTATTGGTTGCTATGGTAAACCTTACTCTCATATATTTTCCCAAACGCCAAAAGAGGAACAACTTCAAAAAACTAGATATTTCAATGTGAGATAATTGCTTATCTCACTTGACAACTGAACGGAGCGCCCTCCTTAGTTTAAGTGTCCGGTTTTAAACGGCAGTAACGTGCTACTATGTCCGCAGCTCCAGACCGGGGAGACCACCGAAGCGGGCCTCCGGGGTCGGTCTCTCGCTCGCCGCAACCCAGTTCCCAGGACACCCGTTCAAGAAGCACCGCCTGGAGAACGGCGACTACTCGCCCTACGAGAACGGCCATATGAGCGGTAAGTTCTTGACAAGCTACGTCATTAATGTCTATTGCACTTGGGAAGATGATGGAGATCAGATTTATGTAATTGTCCACCGACGACCTCCAGTGTGTCATGAGGATTTTTACAGTGGTAGAGCCACGCAGCAGACTCGGCACGAATGGGCAGGCTCGTCCGGGTAAGTACCACGACCTCACAGAAGACCGGCGTAAAGTGTCTGGTGAGTGAGGTAGCCGGTGCCCAATCTTCAAATGGTTGTCAAGGCATTTGGAACCCTCGGGTGTAGCAGATGTCCATGGGCGGCGGTATTCACTTAACATCAGATGAACATGATTGCTCGCTTGGCAATTTTTCACATACAAAAAAATGAGAGATAACGAAGAAGTCAACTTACCTAAGAACTCACCAGGTTCAGCAACTCTTAATTTCTGTTGTTTTGTTAGTACACCAGTTAACTTAAAAAAATATGTGATGCATTTTGTTGATAATTAGACTTACGAAATACTTAGCTAAATCAATGAAACCTAAATTTAATTCGTTTACTTGATAAGAACAATTAAATATATAATAATAACTAAACAGCCGAAGACATTACAATGACACAGTCTAAAAGCAAAGATATAAAACCACTTGACACACTTATTTGTGGCTTAAAATTCGCTAGCCGAGGGCTGGCGTCTGATACCTTTCTCGGTGGGTATGCCCGTTCATTTCGCATACAAACTACACAAATACGAAATTATCCCGGCGCAAACGGAGAAAAGGGAATAAAGTGATTAAATAGAGCTCCGCGCAAGGCGAGAGAGGCCATCAATCATATCCGTTGCTCGGGCCTCTGTTGGCCGTTTGCGCTTCGTCCCGTTTCCCCGCGCGTCATCTCCCTCCAGCTTGAAGTGTCGCGCCAGACAAGGGAGCAATTACATTCGTGATCTCGCATAAGCGGCACTCGCTTATCGCGCACCGCCGCATCTGACTTTTCGAGTGTTGCTCGTTCGCTTTTTTCCCTAAAATTTGCAATTCGAAACGCTCTTGTGTAACTGAAAAGGGCATTGCTACCTTCCGCGACTCGGATTCCGGGACATAGCGCGTCGACGGCGCTAATGAATGTTTCGCTTTATAGACTCATATCTAGTTGAATACGGGAATTGTGAACACGGTACGCAATGAACAAGTAGCCTCGTTAGAACAACAGGCTTTCCGTAGATGAAATTAATAATTCAAAGATTATTTTAAGAGAAGAAAAATTTATTTCACCTTCTGATAAGAATAATATTTAAATTGTATAGACAATTACATGTTGTTTGTCAATATACTAATCGGATTAAAATTTCCGGTTAAAAATATAGAAAGTTTCAATGTTAAAGTCAAAGATTCTTTATTCAATATAGGCTTAACTTAAGCTCTTATTAAACTTCAACAAAAAACTACCACCGGTTCACTAAACTAGATCTGAACAGAGAAGAACCGGCAAGAAACTCTGCGATCTTGTTCTTTTTGTTATTTTTCTTGTGATGCAATTATACAAACTTATTTAGGTATAAAATCAGCAGCAGCCACACATCCTTGTCCTCAATGTATTTTTGGTCATTATAGTAGGCCCTTGGCATAAGGGTAGCTGTAACAAATTGTTTGAAATTAAAGAATTTGTAATTTAAAAAATTAAATAATAAGTGACTCAAACAAGGTATATATCCAGACACATTGTTTATTCGAAGGGTTCGTACACATTCAAATAAGCTTTATAATATTAAACATTAACGAATTCCGTGCGTATATCTAATTTCTGTTCCGCTTCTGAAACGGAATTAAGCTTTAAACCAATATTATTTTGACGAGTCGTTGACAGTGGTTTACGGTTGATGAGACGTCACGCACACTCGTGCGTCGCCAGGAGCTGCTTCCTCGTAGGGACGTGTGCACCGCGTACGTAGTGGCCTCCTTGCCTTCGTGTGCGAGTGGAGGCGGGTGGCCTATTTGCGCCCCGCGAAATAATAGGATACGAAAACATCGGAGGCAGAACATAATCCTCCTAGGAAGGTCGGAATGGAAATGGGAATATGAAATGCGCGAAAGGGACGCGTCGGCCCACGTGTTCGCCGGAAGGGTTGCTGTTTATCTTTCTGATGGCGAATCAAAATCGATCCTATACACTTCTTGTCTAACGGATGTAGGTGTGTGCTTATCATCGACGGCAGACCGTGACAATAGAGCTTGTAATGAGCTTCTGATATCCTTTATCCATAATCCGGTATGATTTAAAGGTAATAAACTTAGTACAACGTAAAATTGTTACGAGCTGGAACATGGATTAGAGTTTATCTGACTTCGATGCAAACCAAACCGACAAAGCAATATCACTTAGACTTTTATGTTTATTTTCCTATCAAAGATATCACCTTTACTAACTAAACTCAATGTCGGTGCCCAACAAGTCATTAATAACGTGAGATCAAATATATTCTGTAAAACTTGTATGAATAACTGTTTAATCTAGGAACCTGAGAGATAGAATCATGCACCCCGCGCTCGTCACCCTGTCCCTCTCTTTTTTCAATCCAAAACTTTCTAAGGGATCACTCTCTCCTTTCCAGTTTCCACGGCTCACATTTCGAATATCGTGATTAACGGGAGAGCACAATTATTTCGTGGTGACAACCCTCATATTTCCACTGAAATCGCGAAAATGAATGTGTTGATAATAATTAAAGGATCCACACAATGTCGCCGCGATTCGGATGTTATACAAACGGGGGATAATGTAAGGCATTATAACATTACTCGCGGGGGTATGAAAGCTTACACACTGATTGAATTCTCCGAGTGAAATTAAGTAAGGATTTGCCTGTTTATGTTAAGGGAGCGCGTTGCGATGGATCAGTCAATTTTCGGCCTATGTTTATTAACGCCTTTGTTCTTGGATTGTTGCGATTTTATGGGGTCGCTGGTTCGTTGTGTGGCTATCTCGATGTTAGAGAATCAAAGGATTCTAATGATAATAAAAGATATGGTTCATTAATTGTTGTTTTTTAATAATCTTAGTGCTCACTTGCAACGTAGTAAGCATAAATATCAGAACTGTTGTTATTTTGTCAAAAATGTGTAATAGAATTTATGATATAAATCAATCAAATAAATAAAATAAAATCACAAGTATATTTCATAAACAAGTTAATATATAATATTTAAAACGAACAGTTAAGTAAGCAGAAAAACTTTGCATCTTTTTTAATAGAAATGTCACTGGCAGGTAGAGCCTAGTGAGTTTAGCGCCAGAAGCAATACAAAAGTACAGCCACTAGTTAAATCTTCGTGCTAATCCCAAAACTAGTTTTGATGGTCATTTTGGGTTAAAATTCCTTTGGCAAGTTTAAATCAAACGTTACTTAGATTACGTTTATTTCGGGCACAATCGTTTATTACCCGGAAGAATGACATTTATTATTTTTAAAAGAAACCATAAGACTGTCGTTTATAAATCATGTAGAGCCGACCACGAGCGATCTTTTTTTGCTATGCAGCACAATTAAAACATTTATCGGATTGTAAAAACTAATTCGCGCGCGCAGTCACTGAATCGAAAATTTATCGTTTTTACTCCAGCGCTCTGTGTACGCAAAACGGTCGATAAACACACCACGAGACCGCAATCATAGCAATTTCTTGCTATCTACGGCCGAGTTTACAATTTTAATGGTTAAAACATCAAGTTGCAATTGCTGGCAATCAAACAAATTACTGTTGCGCCTTACAAGGAAATCGTAACAATCCGCACGATGGCGGCGACAATTAAACGCCGAAGCGATGCGGGACGACGTTCGAATGTGCTACATTCGAATGTTTGCGCGGGAATTGGGAAATGTGGCGGACATGTTAGTTTAGTTTGTTTTTTTAATTGTTTCGTTATTTTCTACCACTAATTATGATAATTTTGAAATTTTTATTTTGGAAATCTTAAAAACAATATTAAAAAGCAACAGTCCGAATTAATATTAACATTTTTTCTGTTAGCAACATGATCATAAGACTGCAATGAAAATTAATTTATAAGAGGAATGATATAAATAAATAAAATAATTACTTATTTGGAAATCATCAATTTCTGATTTTCAAGTCATTGTGTTGTATGAAAGTAGAGAACAGTTGCATGAAACGGTGATTATTGCGAAACATTCTGTCTGGCATTGCTGTTTAATTGCGCGCTCACTGATATTTTTATTTTTGACGGGTTCATCATAATTAAATAGCGCAAATAATTATTGTGGAGTAATTGATTTTTTCTTATAGATAAAAAAAACTTTCACGGTACCATCTAATTAAGTCCATGGATTTAATGAGGAATATAAATGATATACGTAACAGAAACATACGACATTTTTAAACATTATAAAACAATGTAATCAGAATTCTATAAAGTTTCATTATTTTTGTGCATCGGAATATTAAATTACTATGTCATCATTTATTCTTTATAGGTTTATAGTCATTAAGGTTTCGAAATATTTGCGACATCATCGACTTAGCCTATTAGGTTTAAGGTTTAAGATTTTTATCAAGACTTTTCCGTAGAAATAAAAAAAAATAAACATTAGCTTTATTCTACTTTTCCTATTCTATGAAGCAGAGTATAACATCTATTATATTATTTACATTAAGATACGACGATAGACATTTCCATATAATCTATATTCTAACAGAATCTATATTCTGTTCTTAAGATAATAATAACGTCGGCTTATATCAAAATTAAATGCAAACAAATCTGTAAGTTAGTTTTATCGGTGGTAGGCTCTAGCCGCGGCTGTTGCACGAATGGGCTGACTCGTCCGGGTAAGTACCACGACCTCACAGAAGACCGGCGTAAAGTGGAAGTATAATTCTTTCACGTTTCGTCTGGTGACTGAGGTGACCGGAGCCCAGTTTTCAAAAGGCTGTCAACGCATCTGCAACCCTTGGGTGTAGCAGATGTCCATGGGCAGCGGTATCCACTTAACGTCAGGTGAACCGTCTGCTCGCCT